CTTGGGAGGCAGAGGCAGGAGACTCGCTTGAGCCCAGGAGTTGGAGGTTGCTGTGAGCTATGATGCCATGGCACTCTACCCAGGGGGATAACTTGAGGCTCTGTCTCAAAAAAATATATATATATAATTTAGACATCACACAATTCACTGTACAGTCCTGTGGTTTTTAGTATATTCACAGAGTCACTACCTAATCATCACTACCTAATTCTAAGACATTTCATTACTTTGAAAAGAAATCTGTACTTACTAATAGCCATTCCCCATTTCCCTCTCCCCTAGCTCTTAGCAACTTCTAGTCTTTCTGTCTCCATGGATTTGCTTCTTCTGGACATATCATATAAAAGGAATCAAACAATAGGCCTTTTCTGTCCGGCTTTGTTCTCTTAGCATAATGTCCGGGCTCCTCAAAGCTCAGCACATGAGCCATCTGGGGATCTCTTCTGTGTCCTCTAGGGCCTTGCAGTACAAGGGGGTTGTACAGCACAGGGCCGCTGGACTAACCAGTACCCAGCTGATGAAGATGGTGAGTGTTCAGTTCCAGAGAAGGATGGAGCTGTCTCTGTTGGGCAGCTGAAGAGGTGGCAGGCAGCTCTCCAAGCTCCTGGACATGGGATGGGAAGGCCACAGTGGAGGGCAAGGAGGGGGCAGCTGGGTGGGAGGAATGGTCTGGAATGGAGCATGTCTGGGATTCCTGGGCCTCCTCCCCAGTCAGCTCTTCTGGGCCTTAAATACCTCCAGCCCACAGTGTTAGATTTCTAGTTGCCCACAGGCTACATTTCATGGTGAGTGGTGGGTGATGGTGGTTGTTCTCAGTCATTGTGGAGTTTTATTGGAGGGGGAGATGGATAGTAAGGAAATTTGATTTCTCTATTTTTTATTTTATTTTATTAATTTTATTTATTTATTTATTTTGAGACAGAGTCTTACTTGGTCATCCTTGGTAGAGTGCTATAGCTCACAGCAACCTCAAACTCTTGAGCTTAAGTGATTCTTTTGATTCAGCCTCCCGAGTATCTGAGACTACAGATACCCACCACCGTGCCCGGCTATTTTTTAGAGATGGGGTCTCAATCTTGCTCAGGCTGGTCTCGAACCTGTGAGCTCAGGCAATCCACATGCCTCAGCCTCCCACGTGCTGGATTACAAGAGTGAGCCACTGCGCCCCGCCTTATTTTTTATTTTTTACTTTTTTTTTTTTAAAGGCAAAGTCTCACTCTGTCCTCTAGGCTGGAATAGTGCAGTGGCTTCATCAGAGCTCACTGCATTCCATACTCCTGGGTTCAAGGGATCCTCTGGCCTCAGCCTCCTGAGTAGCTGGGCCTACAGGCTTATGCCACCACAC